ATATTAGAAAGTTTAACAAACTACGAGTGAAAGATGATTAAAAAGAAACTTTTTTGCATTCTTTGTTTAAATCTATGAAATAAATAGTTTTTAAAATATTGTAATTGAAAAATTTTGATAAATATAAGTAAACCGTGAAAAATGTTTGTTTATGTATAATATATTGTTATGAATAAATAAAAAATTCAAATCATCGACATAAATTTATATCCTGATATAAATTGAGCCTGACATTTTTTAAATAGATCAATAAAACAAATGCACGTACCGTTTGAAACTCCAGTCCTACGCTTGCAAGTATTACTCATAGGCTTCAACATATTTCTGAGACCGTCTACATCTAGTTTCTCCTGAAAATTAATAGGAGCATCGAGTACACTGGTACTATGAAATTGAAACTCCTGACTACAATTATTCTTCGCTATAAATACAATTAATGAAAAAAATCAAAAACTCTCACTGCACATTCAACTGATCCATAATAAATCACAATAAGAGCAAATGTCGATAAGAAAATGAGAATTCTCATTTTTTTATTCCAGTGCAAGCCACAGAAAACGAGAATCTGTAATCTAAAACTTGGTCACCTGTTGAACATCCCGTCGAAATTTACCTAAGCACAAACTTTTATAGTTTGTTAACACGTGCTGGAGATGATGATGAGGTGACACCAGAAAATAAAATACAGGCTTGGCGCGTCCAAAGTGCCGGTGTTCAAAGACAATTGATTATTGCTGATGTCGTTTCTCGGAATCATTGCACGCCTCCGGAACTTGTTGCAGTAGTATAACACACCAAACGTACTCTCGTGTTCTAATTTAGGAAGTATTACGAAATTTTGACCGGATTTGGCATAGAGGCTGCCATCAAAAGCAACAGCCGACGGAAGTAAATTTCCTTTAAAAAAAAAAAAAAAAGAAAAAGAAAAAAAGGTAAACATATATTACGACATCCCTTGAAAGTAGTTGTTTAGCACGACATTCTTCTTAAATTTTGTTTGTCCTTGAAGTTAATATTCATATGTAATTAAAATTTTAGAAAGACATACCGTACTTAATTGAGATATTTGTAACTAAAGTTTGACTTATTAACACGAGCAGTATAGGAAAATCTCCCAATTGAATAATGATTCTTCTTAAGCATTGAAAATTCGCGTTAATTTTTTGATCCAAAGGCATATTTAATTCAATTTATTTTTATCAACATATACACATTTACAATCTCATCTACACCGATATTATTGTTGCAACTTTATTCAAATTTCTCATTAAATTTCTTATTAGATTCCGTGTTGAAAGAAAAATGTTTGATGTACACAATTTTTTATTATTTCAATTTATTTTGATAACTTCACCCTAACAAAAGCTTTTTGGTTGCTCTTGGAGATACCTGAACAGGGATGCCAAGCTTCAAATCAATGTTTTTCTCAGATAACCAATCGCCACGCAGGTAATGAATTTTGACAAAAAAGAAGAAAAAAATTCAAACTAATGTTGCGATGAAAAAAAAAAAACATCACATATTTTTTTCAATGGCTCACTGATTTAATCAGCGCAAGCTTTTTACTTCGCTTACATGCAAAAGCGTACATGTAAACCAAAGGGCGAATAAAAGCTGAAAACACGTCTTTTCCCTCCATTAGGTATGCACGTGTACGTGAATGAACATCAGCGAAGCGAATATAATACACACTGTAGCAAACAAAAGGAGCATCCTCCGAGTATAGATGTGGAGAAGGACGTCGAAACTCCCCCGATTTTTTCCCTCATCTCAGATTGCTCGTGCCTCTTCCATTATCCCCCGACACCGCCGTCACCACGCGCGCAAAGTCCCGCAGAGAAGATCGCGATGAAAATTTAATAAATCCCGTCCTGCCCGACATGGAAGAGAAGAGGCAGTGGGGGTTGTCATTTACCGCAAAATATGTTCAAAAATAATAAATAAGTGAAAGTTAATACATACATATACGAGATGATTAATCGAAAGCTGGAAATAATATAATAAAATCATACTTAAATATACATAGTACTACCTACATTGAAATAATTATCTAACGTTAAAGCATCACTCTAAGTTTATTCAAGATGAGACTTTTTAAAGTTTTAAGTTGTATTTAATGTATTAAAAAATTGTACCATATGTAGAAATCCGCATCCCGAGTTATGGTATATAGAACTTTAAATATATGAATTACATACTTAAATATACATAGTACTACCTACATTGAAATAATTATCTAACGTTAAAGCATCACTCTAAGTTTATTCAAGATGAGACTTTTTAAAGTNGCATATATACATTGCGCGAGTGGGATTTGGTTTTCCTCATCCGCGACTTGTGAGATATATATCCGGGTGAAAAATGAAAAAGAAAAAAAAAAAAAAAAAAAAAAGGAAACGTGCTGATTGTTAATGTGCTTTCCCTGAGAAATGATGAAATCTTAAGGACGATATTTCACATGGGCGCGGAGAGGAGCCTGCGGATCATTGCTCGTTATTTATTTTCTTTCGAAATGAATCTTGGGTGCTGCCGAGGGATGGGGCAGGGGTAAAGTTTCGAATTTGAATTCGTGGATGCCCGCATCGAGGGGAGGCTGAGTTACGGGGGCGCGTGAAAAGCTCGCGATTCGAAGTTGTGCTTCGGCGGGAAATATTTTCGGCGGGGCCGGATTGGCGCAGGAGCTCGGGTTATTATGGAAATTTCAAAGGGCCGTGGCGATTAATCTTCGCGCGGGTGTAGTAATCATCAAAGTTTCGTATCAAATGCGTTGGATCTGACGGAAAATCGGAGCTTGCAAGGGACTACATTCACTCTTACGCGAAAGATTTTTTGTGACCAAAAGAACCTTATAAATAATTATCCATTTAATAAGAGTTTTTTGTTTGTTTGATAATAATTGGAGCTCATGTAGTGTGATTACAAAATTTATTTCCAAGTCATCCGATTTATACTGTTTTATAAAATGTTAGGATACACGCGTTCAAAACAGTAATAATCAGTTTAAATGTTGGTATCATTGTTTTTTCTGTAATTTTGTGGCGTTAATTAGAAAATAAAAATCAAGATGAGCTTCTCAAAATAATTGCATGATTTTTTTGAAACAATTGAGTACAGTTGAGTATGACAATTGTCATTCTCTTTTTATTAGCTCATTAATTTTATTAATTTCGTGAGATTTTATACAAAATTTCGGACCCTCGTAAATTATTTCAGTTGATTCCCTTAACAAACGTCCTACCGATCGGTAATTCGAATGAGTTTCACCGTTACGGAGTAGACGAGGAAGGTTATTATTATTATTTTTTGGTCTTGCAGAAGTTTGAAAATAATTTATTTTCCATCACACGCGACCGCGTTCTTGTGCTTCCGTGCGTGCAAGAACTCTGATATAACAGGATTGCAGTCGCACTCGTAACCCGTCACTCGCATGTTTTTACCGCGAATGTGACACGCACGACTCGACATAACTCGCGGCCTCCCGCATATTTTTAGAAAAACCAATACGACAATAAATTCACCTGTTCAAACGCGCAAACAAGATAAATTTCAACATTCTTTTGTCGTCGCGCAGAAAAATTACGTAAGGGTAATTAAAAAAATTTTGACGTTAAAAGAAAAAAAAAAAAAAAAAAATGAGAATTATTTTAGAACTTTTATTACGATTATTAGCTTATAACACGTAACTTTTTATTTAGTTCCAATAACGTTTCTCTAAACTACAATAAAGTATTTTAAAGCATTACTTATTATTAACATCCAAATTAGACAATTTACAATTTATGTTCACCTCAAATTCTGTTCTGAACAAAAATTTCGCCTTTTGGGAATACATGGGCCTAGGAATTCCCTCCTTTTGCTTGAATCGATCGAGAGTTTGCATTGTTGATAGGAAAATTTTATTTATGTAATTATTAAAACTTAACTTGTGCGATGTTTTGTACATAAGAGAAAAAAGAAAAGAAAAACTTATTTATAAAGAAAAAAAAAAAACTAGAATTATTACGCGATTTTCAAATTCCACATGTTTAATCGAACGATGCACGTTTGNTGTTTAATATTATAAAAAATTATTGTTTTGACGGTAATAATTATGGTTTGAATAGTAAAAATTACCATGCTGGAAGAGTAAAATTTATCAACCGATTCTTTAAAGGTTTACTGTTCCAGTATGATAATATTGACTATTCTAACCACAATTTTTTTATTAATAACTCTAACAAATAATAAACAATTTCTAATAAATCGAAAACAATAAAAATATTTTCCCTTTTTCGCCAACTTGCATCCGATTTACAGGTCAAAATGGTAATCTTCATTCGAATTACTCATATTTTTATATGATTACTCTTATAAATTTCATCCAGAGAAAGAGAGCAAAGAGAGAAACTGGACGCTTGTACTTACGTATTGTCAAAACAATCCCATCGTCATTGAACGAAGAAATATTAAATTACTCTCCTCGCGTTTCCTCTTTTCCCGCGATGATGGCACCGAGATAAGTACGGGCCGGCCAAGGGGAAGAGAGACATTACGCTAATAACCCAACGCCGAGCATTTCAAGATTACCTTCGCGGAACGCTGCATCTTCCTCTTTGGTTCCCGGTACATCCCGTGCAACGGCCGTTAATAAATACAAGTCTTCTTCGTTACGTGTAAGAATACTATTGGGTGACGGAGGGATTTTTTTTTTTTTTTTTTTTTTTTCTAGTTGACGACTACTAAATTTCCATACTCTCAGTCGTCGAAAGGACCGCCGTGGTGGTGGTGATCGGGATAACCGGGGTAGTAGTCTTTGTACCAGAATCGGGGACTAATTGCTCCGAGGTGGAAATCTCTTCCTCAGTCGATGCACTTGTTTCTATAGCTGCACCACTTGTTCCCTCACTTGTACTCGTTTCCATAGATTTACTCGTTTCCATCTCTGTACTCGTTTCCAAAGTCGAACTCATTGTCGTCGTAGTACTTGCTGTACCGACTTCTGCCTTCAAATACTTCTTAACGCATTTATTTAACACTAGCGCCCTCGTGCACTTGCCATTCATCTGCATCGCTGTACGGGCACATTATATAAAAAAAAAAAAAAAAAAAAAAAAAAAAAAAAAAAAATAGGAATTCAAATTTTTTTTTAACCGAAAGTAATTACTCTCACCTGCTACTGAACAGTGTTCCACTAATTTTCTGAAGTATCCCATGCTGACGTTGTATTTTTTAGCTATCCATACTTGATTTTGCATTTTTTCAACGACAAACGAGCCATTGATCATCTAAAAAAATATTTGTAGTTCAAAATTGACTCATCAACGAGGTTACTTATTTTTAAAATGATTTCCTACCATTTTATTTTTAGTCATTATGCAAGCCAAGATGCATCCAACTCGATGGTCATCTTTCTTTTTTAGAGTTAAATAATCATCTAAAAATAATGAAAATTGCAATCTATACTTCTTATATATTATTATAAATTAAAAAATACGTACCGTCGGTCAAACGATATTCCATCAAACATTTTTTCCTTGCTCGGAACATTTCATTGCCGTTGGTGTTCGTCTGTTCCGTATACATTGGTATGTCTTTGGTTAATTGTATTTATTGTAACATAGAAACATTATTTAAAAGTCACTTTCCTCACCATTTGCACAAGTCCAAAAAATATAAGTATAATTGGATTCATTTTTTTTGCAGAGCACTATACCGTGTGTATTTAAGAACTTTTTTGTAGATAAAAACCAAATGGATGAGAAAAAAAAATTAGTATATTAATTTTTATTACTGTCGGTGATGTGGTATTTTAATCTTCAGCTTTACTGCAAAATAATGTAAAATTCGTACCAAGTACAGTAAATATATTTTTTGAGCATTGTAAGCTATTGTTGTAACACAAGTCATAGCTTTTTAAGCAAGTCATGTAATATTTTTTGACAAGCACACAATGCTTTTAAAACAAGTAAAGAATCGTGTAGCGGAAAATTCTTCAAGTTCTAATAATTTAAAATATTTTTATAATTTGAAATTTATACGTATTTTAAAATTTTTTAAAAATACGTCAGCCTATTGTGATTGAAATAAAAAGCTACAAAACTTTTTTACGTAGAAAAATGTATTGATTTAACAATTTTATTACTGAGAGACTTTTGAAATACTCAACAAAAAAATAATTAAGAAGAATAATTATGGCTATTTCTTGAATTCATGGCCGTAATCTTTTCAATTTTCTGCCTCAAATCCTCAAGCTCCTCGGTATAAATGCTCAAAAGTTTTGAATCTTCCTCCGGAAAACTCATGTTATGGCAATTCACTCGCAGTTTTTCCATGTACTCTGTTCTTCTCAGCTCATATTGATTACGTAGTTCATAATACTTGGTCCTATTATCCTCATTGGCCTACGAAAAATCGTAACCTTGAAAGCTTGTACAGTAGAAAAAAAAAAAAAAAAAAAAAAAAAAAAAAAAAAAAAAAAAAAGAGTACTTTTTCAGACACTTACTAATTTCGTTGTTAAAGCTTCTATTTCTGACCCAAGCTCCCGAATTTCGTCATTCAGATTCATAATTGCCTTCCTGTGATTCCGACAATTGCGATCTGTTAGTGAATTGATTTTTCGATCCACCAGATCCCAGAGGGTATTATAATGGCCTCGTAGGGATACTTCCAAGTTATAATTAGCATCCTGTAGTAAGGGCATAAGAAGGAATATGGGACAGTGTAGGCAAAGATTAAAAGTCACAATGGTATACCTAAACAAGGTTATCAAACTTTCTCAATCTTACCCAGTTGTACGGTGTTTGTCTCGATGATTCGGCCTAAGTAAGATAATTCAATTTCAAAAGAAAATAGACTACAAACATTTTTCTCTACCATTGAATGATTGGATATCTTACCGCGGTTAAAGCTCCCAAAAGTACGAAGACGAAGATACGAGCCAGCATATTCTTGATTTTTTGAGGATAGCTGGATGAAACGTGAAAAACTAGAGGGTAAAAATCGAGTGATGCGCTGTTAAGACGAGATCTTTCGGAAAAGATGGACTAAGTAACGGTTTCGACGTATTTGAGTTTATTTATAACCATCGATTCATGTAACACTCCCACATTGAATTGCCTTATCAAAAAAACATGTATATTTTTGATAAGCATTCATGAACGGTTGTATGAATTTTCAATGAAAAAATAATCCGAATCAATTACCCGTAAACAGTAGTCAGAAGAAACGAAAATTTTGAAAACTTGAGAGTACCTATGTGTTTTGTTACATTTACATAGGTAGGGAAAGCTCATGTAGATCTAAAACTTTATAATAAAAAGACAGAAAAAATTTGGAAATAAAGTCACCTTCTGTCATTAATATAGATACTTTCTCACAACGAAAATCTCGTTATATGTATTCCATTAAAAAAAAAAAAAAAAAAAAATTATAACATATTAAATGATCTGAATTAAAAATTTTAGAAGAGTATGACTCCTGAGCTAACGTATTATGCGTTGTTCTACTAACATAACTATCGTGGTATACTTTTGTAGCATACATCAGACTGATTTAAGTCAGGGAAGGGTAAGCCACGTGATCTCCCAAAAATAATTAAAAACTCTTATCTTAATCAACTCAGGCACATAAATACAATATATTTTATTTTTTCAATATCCTTTTTTTAACATACTGTTGTTATTTAAAAAGCTTTTAGCTTCTTATACATGTGCACAAAATTTTACATTTTTATTTTGATGTTCCTTTCATCGAATTGCTCCTTTGTGCAAATACCTATGATGTTTGTTTCATCACAAATATCCTTTGCAGTCTTTGCTAAAAATGTAAAAAAAAAAAATTAAATTTATTATTTTAATAAACGAGCTTGTAAGTTAACATAAAAAATTAAAGATTTCAATGAATTTTTTCAATTATGTCCCTGTTGAAACTATTTCTTAAGTTTACAGCTTAAATTTTATTACCATAGTTTGTACAAATTTCTACAATTTCAGTTGCCGTTTTTTCGTCAATGCCTTCTATGTCTTCAATCATTGATTCTTTCAAAGCCTCTAGGTCAATTTTCTTATCAGTCAACTGTAAAAAATTTTTCAACTTGAAGTAACATGAACACTTTTCTACAATACATGCAGCATCATAACACTTACGATTCCTTCTTTTTCAAATACGCAAGCCATTAGGCATCTTAATTTGGGAACTTTAGCGTTTGCCAACTTCTCTATGTCTTCTGAATAGTTTTAAGCCCGAGAAAATAATGAACAGAAAATCCTTGAGTTACGTTATCGGGTCATAAAAATGCAATTACATAAGAATTCAAAATCTAAACATGTACCTTCTTTTATACCACTTTCAGCCAAACATTCTTCATAGCTATTCGGACCCTCTGATGAGTCTTTGTCTTTAGCATGACTGTACACCTAAACATTTTTATTCATTACTGTTACTTATAACTGTAATTTATTGAATACTTTGTTCATTTCACTCTAGTTCAAGCAGATGAAAGACGAAATTTTTGTAAACTCGAAGGTGTTTGTGCCTATATGGCTCGTGTAAATGGTGATAGTATGTATCAAAGACAAGAATTTAGAAACCATCTGTAATAGAAGCTCGTCTAACCTTGTACACACCGATGAAAAAAATATATTAAAAGTAGCATGGCGTGAAGAGTCATCTATATAGTCTTAATATTTTTGTTAATTAATTGACCCAGAATATAAATTTATTTTTAATCTTTGGACCAATATAAGTAGACGAATAAAATTTCAAAAAACTGTCCATCTCGTTTTAGAAGTGTTTGACACGTGATGTATGCAATTTTTATAATTGTATTTCTCTACTGTCAAAAAGTCAATATTTTATATTGTTGAAAAATCAAGTGAAACAAAAAATCTCAACAAATTGAGACATGATATTTTCATACTTTAAAGACCCATTAATATTTATACCATAAAATTGTTGAACAAAACTGTTAACTGATGGAAGCACTTTTATATTTCACGAAATATAAACAATTCCGCTTGATATTTAGTATATAAGGTATAAGAAGAACATTTTACTAAAAAGTTGCTCTTTTACTTACAATGACAGCCAGAAAGCAAAGAGCAAAATAATAAAACTTCATTTTTTCACAGACACCGGTAACTTCGTAACTTGTTCTACTATTGAAAACTTTTTGCACCTGCGTTTTATATGATTCTGATATAATCAGTTCTAACAATGGTTCACCTCATCACACCACTATCTGAATGTAACGATCAACTACTGGCATTGAAAAATTTAATTGTGCATCTTTAAATATTTTTTCTCCACTCGAATCTAAACCATGCACTGACAATAAAAATTTACTGGCAATTTTTAATGACTGAATAACTATGGTCCGTGAGTAGTAATTATTCTACAGCTCTTAATTTAATAGTACTTGTGAAACGCTGCATCACGATTGCATTTGTTTTTATGTTACAATAAAAAAAAAAAAAATAATAATAATAAGCTTTGTGGGAAATAAAATTTTATGACAAACAAATTATAGCTATAAAAGAAAGAAAAGGATAATAAATTTTTGTTTTTTTTGTTGATGGATAAAACAAGCTTCGTACTTGCTATACGATATTGAAAACCTTAAATTTTTGGACTAGTAGTTTAATGCAATAAATCATCGGTTTACCCACACCAGTATTACATATTGCAAAATGCACAGGTTTATGAGAATAAAAATTAATCTCTTTACGCGATTAAACTTAATTACTCTACAAAATATTTTACGTCTACACGTGCATTTACTACGTACTAAAAAGTGGTCACGAGATTTTCCTGTTGGTAATTTCCGAGTGACTAAATAATTGTTGGTGGTGAGTGGTATACAATTCCAAAACTCTTATTTTTATCATGTTTACGTAATATTACTTTGTTACCTGTTTTCATTGTTTAAAAAATGTATATTACAAATAACAGTGAAATCTTATCAATACATTTAAAGATTTTAATTTAATACAGCCTAAATTTTTATTTAATAGTATCTTATTATTAGAGTACATACTTATACAAAGAAAAATTTTTAAAGCTGTAAGTTACTTTTTAAATCTACCATTCTGAATTGGTTAAGTAAAAACTCGCCACAGATTTAGAATCACTAAATGCATTCAGAACTGTCTAGTGCACTATTTTAATATAAATTGTAGATTTGACAAATAATGGTATTTATAACTAACATGGCGTTGCGAAATAATAAAAATACTCAGATTGTTTCCAAAAAATGTATAAGTCAGACGTTATATTTACTTCTGCTACAGTTAAGAAATAGAGAGTACACTTATTCAAGTATTGGTCAGGAATAAGCCAGTCACTGCCCTCATTTAGATATACTTTTTCATGCTTAATTTTATAACATTCAACTTTATTATATTAATAATTTGCAGTACAAAATATTGTAGGATAATCGACTTTATTCATAAAAATCATAAATACAAATATATTATGATAAATTAATATTTGTATTCCATATTCTTGTACATGATTTCGTTGATTTTTTTCTTCAAAACAGCAAGCTTGTCAGAAAGCTCAGCTACAGCGACCTCTTCTTGAGCCGAAAAAGGCATGTTCTTGCAATCTATTTTTGACATTTTTAACAACTTTGATCTTTTTGAATCATATTTCTGCCCTAGTATCTTTTCTTTAGGTGTCGTACCAACAGAATTCTAAGAAAAACCATTGCATAAGTAACTTTTTAAAACAAAAAATAATTGTTAAAAGCAACAAACCTTTTTTAATTCCAAAAGTTCGATTTGATACTTAAGTTTGCCAAGAATTACACGCAGTTGTTTTATTTGATTATTGTGGTTCCTACAATTACGATTTTGGGCTTTTGTAGCAATATCGTCTATTTCTCCATAAACATCATCATAGGTTTTTCGTAAATCATTCTCCAGTTTAATGTTAGCCTGAATTAAAATTATAAAGAAATATTTTGTAAATATATTGCCTATATACTTGCGAGAGAAGCCTACTTAGCAGTTAGCACCTAGGGCCAAAATAAAGTGCTGTTTTACACAGAGAGTCAAGAAATATTAATAATATTACCAAGTATAAAACATTTAATAGTACAGAGGGTATTGGGATAGAGGTGAAAAAGATACAGTTAATTTAGAATATGAAACTTTTATGATCTTACCAAATACTCATTCTCAGAAGTGATCGAATTAACCTGCATAAAATAAATGTTTTTATGAACAAATCAACAAAAGAAATTTTTTTTGTGTCATGGTATTAAACATGAATTTTACTATGTAAAGTTATACAAAATTAATATAATCTTACTACTTTAAAAGCTCCTAAAAATGCGACGACGATGTAGATTTGAAGAAACATATTCTCAGTTTCTATGTTAATACTAATGTAATATTATTGAAATTCAGAGTAATATACTACTAGTGTCAAATGCACTAGAGACAGTAGATAATAAGGTATTCCTAAAAAAGTGTGTGAATAAATAGTTGGTGTATCAATAAGTAATACAAAGTCTGTTAAAGATGAACGCTAATAAAACACTTTCATTTTTTGCTACGCTTTTTTATCGGGAATCGCATGTGTGGTGTTTCCAATGTTGGTAATAAGTATCGAAGGGTCTCAGGCTTAGTTAGTGTCTTGATTATTATTTTGAGGAAGAATCGATTTTCAAAGCTTAGGTATTTAAAATTAAATTACTCATACGAGATGGTTGGATTTATCAATTTTAAATTAAAAAACTTAAATTTTTGGCCCAAGAAGTTAAAAAAAAAAAAAAAAAAAAGAAAAGAAAAGAAATAAATAAAGAGCAAAAAAAAGGGAGGGAAGAGAGTCCGAGTTGCGATAAACAGCAATTAGAGCCTTCGGGGGGGGGGGTACAACCCACGTAGAGCGCTCTGTGCGGAATCCGAGCAAGCGGTTCAGAGTAAACCCCGCGCCGGTCGAGCTCTCGTTGTTGGTCAAAATCGGAACTTGTGAGACACAACGCTTGGGGGACGGCTGCACTC